TTGAGACGGAGTTTCACTCATGTTACCCAGGCTGGAGTGCAATGGCGCGATCTCGGCTCACCGCAACCTCCGCCTCCTGGGTTCAGGCAATTCTCCTGCCTCAGCCTCCCGAGTAACTGGGATTACAGGCACGCGCCACCATGCCCAGCTAATGTTTTGATATTTTTAGTAGAGACGGGGTTTCACCATGTTGACCAGGATGGTCTCGATCTTTTGACCTCGTGATCCACCCGCCTCGGCCTCCCAAAGTGCTGGGATTACAGGCTTGAGCCACCGCGCCCGGCCGGCTCCATTTTTTTAAATGGACAGCGATGCTTGTTTAAAAGCACTTGAAGGGTTTCAGGATGTGTAATGTTAACTATGGAGAGATTGAGCGTGTGAAAGAATTAAGAGAATTAAGGATAGGTTAAGAGGAAACTGAGTAAATAAAAAAAAAAAGCAAAGCAGGTAGTAACCCCAGGAAGAACAAAGAGTCGTATAAGAAAGGAAATGTAACCAAAATATGTGACTTGGCTTGGCAGGAAACAGTATTTGTACAGTCAAAATATAAATAACACTAAAATCCACTTAACAAAAACTTGTGACAAATGCCGATTGAAAGGGGGGAACCAAAATCAGAATATTTCTTGATAATAATAATTATGAGAAGAAACAGTTTGTCCATTCACTGGGAGATGTTCATTATTCTAAGCCTTTTAAATCTTGAATCCTTATAACAATCCAATAACCTAAGCACTATTCTTATTACTCTTCATTTTACAAATGAGAAAACTGAGGCCTGAGGAGGTTAAGTTACGTGCCCCAAGGTCATACAGCCAGAAAAAGGAAGGGCTGGGAAGGCAGGCAGCCAGGCAGCAGAGGCCACACTATGAAAACATCAGACCAGAAAGTCAGTCTATATCTGTTTAAAATTGACCAGGCACGTGGCTCATGCTTGTAATCCCAGCACTGTGGGAGGCCGAGGTGGGCAGATCACTTGAGGTCAGGAATTCAAGACCAGCCTGGCTAACATAATGAAACTCTGTCTCTACAAAAAATATAAAAATTAGCCAGGCATGGTGGCGCACACCTGTAGTCCCAGCTACTCAAGTGGCTGAGGCAGGAGAATCGCTTGAACCTGGGAGGCAGAGGTGACAGTGAGCCAAGATCGTGCCACAGCACTCCAGCCTGGCAGACAGAGTGAGACTCTGTCTCAAAAAAAAAAAAAAAAAATATATATATATATATATATATGCCTAAAATTAATCAAAAGAACAGCAGGAAAAGCAAGTTATTTAAAAATACGGAGGTAAGTACCAGAAGAAAAAATTTAAGAAGTTGAAAGTGGTTGCTTTTGGGGAGCAGTGCTGATGTAGAGAAGCACGGAAAGGGATGTTGCTTAGTAGTGTTAATATATATGGATATAAAAATATGTTTATGGTGGGCAGACAGGAATTGGCAGGAGAGCCATGCAAGGAAACTTTCTGAGGTGACAACATGCTTGATACCCTGATTGGGGTACAGTATGCATTTGTCTAAACTTAGCAAACAGTACCTTTAAGACCTGTGCATTTCAATCCATGTAAATTTAACCTCCAGAGGAACAAACCATAAACAAATATTTAACTCTATCTAACGGCATGCATACTAAAGTGACTTTAATGGAAGTGTACTGATAATTGCAACTTACTTTGAAATGCTTTATAAAAAAGTAAGTTGTATTAATGGATGGACAGATGGGTAGATTCCTGATAGAGCAAATATGGTGAAATGTTAGTAAGTGGGTATATGAATATTCACTGTATAAATTCTTTCAACTCTTCATGTTTGAAATTTTTCTTAATAAAATATTTGAAGAAATATATGAGTGAATTATCTGAAAAATATTACCTTTTAAAAATTTTTTTAATTGTTTATACTTTAAGTTCTGGAATACATGTGCAGAACGTGCAGGTTTGTTACACAGGTATACACGTGCCATGGTGGTTTGCTACACCCATCAACCAATATTAACTTTTTAAAAATCTGGATGGAGTGTTCAGTCTTTTTTTTTTTTGAGATAGAGTCTTGAGTCTTGCCCTGTCACCCAGGCTAGAGTGCAGTGGCATAATTTTGGCTCACTGCAAACTCCACTTCCCGGATTCAAGCGATTCTCATGCCTCAGCCTCCCAAGTAGCTGGAATTATAGGTATCCACCACCAAGCCCAGCTAATTTTTATATTTTTAGTAGAAAGGGAGTTTCACCACGTTGTCCAGGTTGGTCTCGAACTCCTGGCATAAAGTGATCCATCCACCTTGGCCTCCCAAAGTGCTGGGATTACAGGTGTGAGCCACAGCTCCTGGCCAGGTGTTCAGCCCACCTGGATAGACCAGCCTGGATGGACTGGCACACCTCTAAGCTCTCCTACATGCACATCAACCTGGCAGCCAGCTGCAGCCATGCTCTCATCTGTATCCCCACCCAACCCTGGGGTCCTAGAATCAAGAACCCATAGCTGAATTCCTCAGCCCTTCCCGGCTCCCCTGTACACAGGATATCAGGCAAGATACGGGGGTCCCCTTGAATGTTTTGGTAGCAGGAACATAACTATGTCACCAAGGACAGGAACAGGCCTCTGCAGCTACACTCCATCCTCTGCCAAAAGAGTAAACTGAGGTCTGTGGAGGGGCTGCCTTTCCCAGGGCCCATCCCACCTTCATGATAGACATGAGCAGCCAGTTTGCCTGGCTCCCAAATCCACGTGTATATAATTAGGTGGTGGGAAATGGATCAGGGAGCAGATCTCATCTCTGCCTAATTAGGGGCTAGGCAGCTGGGGCCAAGCTGACCTGGGGGAGCTGCTTTGGAGGCTGGGCAGCCCCAGGAGACAGGGCAGCAGCTGCAGGCCCTTGAAGGGCTCACACTCCAACTGGAGGCAGAACAATAGAGGAGCTGTTTCCACAGATCCTGAGGCTACAGAGTAGGGGGAGGAAGGAGTACAAAACCCCCCTGCCCTGCTCCCTCGACAGATGCCTGTAGGAAAGCCTGGGAGGCTCCAGAATCCTGGAACAGGGGAGCCCTCCCAAAACCAAGCCATATCAAGACCAAATCAAGGCTCAGTCTGGCACCTTCCCCATTTCCAAGAATCTCTCCCTGCTTTCTCCCCAACAGACCCTCCCAGTGGATTTATGGAAAGACATTTTCTTTTCAGCTCCTGGAAACAGCTCTGGTTTTAGGGCAGAAGTCCCTGAGTATACTTGCTTTACATTCTAACACTATTTACGTGCTGAATTTTTAGTTGCCCGTTGTCTTCTCCAGACTAGTGTCATATCCATTGCTGGTCACCCAGTAGATGCTCAGTAATAAAGTGACCAGAAGAAAAGCCTGCCAAGATGAGGAAGAGTGAAGAGGTATGTGTTGGAGAACCAGGAATCCAGACTGTGATACGTCTGGCAGGCAAGAGTGTGACCCCAGACTGACCTGCAGACCTGCTATGTGACAGCTTGTAGGTCACTATCCTTCTCTGAGCTCAGCATCTTACTCTGACAATATATCTGGCCCTCAAAAGGCCACCCTGAGGATTCAAGCACTGAACCCTCCTTCAGGAACAAGGTGTCACCCACCAGTTCTATAAGCTGAACCTCAAATTTCTTCACATGCAAAATGCAGCCAGCCCATCCACTTTCTTAGATTGCTCAGGAGTTGCCAGGTCACAGCAAGGGGCAATGATTAGCCCTGAATTCTAGCAAGGTTGCCCAGGAAGTCTTTGACACCTCAAAGGGCACCACCTCTGCAGAACCTGGCTGGATTCTCTCTCCTGACACCATCATTCCTTTAGCATGGGGACCCTGGAGGCCCAGCTCCTGCATTGTCAAAACTGCTGGGCACCATGGGGGGGTTGTGGGTAAGTCACCACCCTCCTCATGCTTCAGTCTCCCCATCTGTATCATGAGCTCCAGTCTCATGAGCTGGAACACCATTCTCTTCTAGAACCCAATTCCCCCTACTTTCCCCAAACCGCCGAGGTCCATCCCAGGCCCCTGGGGGCTAGTTGTAGACAGGGAGACTGACAGACAGAGGGACGGACAGACAGCTGGGCTGACCTGGATATTTGTCAATAGCCCAACGGAAATCTCCTCTTTATGCTTAAAATAAAACCTACATCAAACCTGTCACCAGGGCCCCCATTAGAGCTTCCTGTTTCTGAGTGCTGAAGCCAAGGCAGCCTGTGAAAGGAAGCGCCACCCACCCCCTCCCCACTCCCACCATGGGGCGCCAGAGAGGCCATCCCCCACTTTACCCTTCATAAGCCCAGCCCTACCCACTCCACCAGCCAAGGTGGGGTCTCCCAGTAGGTAACTGATGTGGAGGGAGACTGGAAGGAGCTGAGGCCTCGAAGCAGTGTCAGCCCCTTTCTTCCCCTTTCCCCAGGTATTGGATATAGCATGAAGGGCCCAGAATGCACCAGTGCCCCAACCCAAGGAGGGCTGTGCTGCCTAACTCTCCCAATGAGGCCCAGAGGGAGACTGGCTTGTCCAGATCACCAGGCAAGGCCACTCATTTTGTGCCGTCAAGCCCAAGTTCCTCATCCTCCATTAACTCCCACTTCCCATCCTCACTCTATGGTCTGTGTGACCTCAAGTTCAGGGTTTGCCGTCTCCCAGCTTCCTGCCCCCTTGGGAACTGGGCAAAGGTGGGGGGAGGATGGAACACTCAAGGCTGGGGAGAGTCTATGCAACCCATCAGCCTTTCCCCTGCAGGCTCCCTTCCTGGTGCAGGGGAAAGACCCCATTCCTACTCCCAGCTCTATCCCAACTCACTGGTGGCTGGACCTATTTCTTCCTCAATGAAGCAGGCCTGCCAGACTTCCAGGAGAGTTATGAGAACCCATCTGGAGGACATGTCTCTGGCCGGACCGGCCGCTATCATCATGCCCCACCACCATGCCCTTGGGGTAAACAATTACTGTTTTGATGGTCCCACCCCAAGACTTCTATCACCCCTTCTCTTGTGAACACAGAAGAGTCTGAAGGCCCAGCCCTTGAGAAACAAGCATTTGTGTTTATTAACCAAGGGGAGGTAAGTCAAAGCAGTGCAGATTCCTAACCAGCCCCCAACATTGTCTACCCACCTAGGCCAGCTGCCAAGGACTAGGAAGAGTAGTGGATAGGCTCCTCCCCACTGCCACGACCCCAGGGTGAGTTCTGCTGGGTAAGGAAGAGGACGTCAGCAAAGGGCAGAGGCTAAGGAAGGAAGGAAGGATACAGAGCCACTGGCGAGACAGGATGGAGGCGATCCCTTGGCCCTCACTCTCAGTGGGGAAGGCAAAGCACCCCAAATACAGCCCCACAAGAGGAACTAATCAGGAATAACATGTCGAAAACCTTGTATTGGGGTGGAAGGAGGGGTTCTCGGCTGTCCAAAGAGCAAAACCCTTCAGGGTCAGTCCTTGCCCAAGAATGCTGGTCCAGCCTCTAAGCCTTTGCCTCCATACCAAGTTCACCCCAGGGTGGAGCCTCTGACATGCAGATCCGGAGAATGGATGCAATAGAGGTCCAGGGGCCACTTGCCTCTGTAAGATCTGTCCTGTGGCGAATTCCAGGTCCAGCGGCAGCCTAGCCTTCAGCTGCGGGGCTCTCCCGTGCCTGCCTTAACCCATACAGCCACTTGATCACGCGGGCATTGCGCTCCACCACCGACACACCATAGGGGACGCGCTCCCGGGCCCGCTCCTCAACAGTAACCGAGCTGCGGCGGGAGCAGCCCCCTTCAGAGCTGCCCGGCCCAGCACTGGGCCCGGCCAAGGACACGATGTCCGAGCTGGCCCGTGCCAGGTGGGCCACACCCAACCCTCTTGCCTCCTCCGGGTCCAGGCCGCAGAAGTTAAAAAAGCGCTCCAGGTCAGCGGCTGCCCTAGAAAAGCGCTCGCTTAAGTCCGACTTAGAGCGTTGCAAACCCGGTGGCCGAGCTGGGCTGGAGGCAGCCGCAGGACCCGGTGACGGGCAGGGCTGGGCAGGTGAGGCAGGCAGAGGGCGGACGTCCACTCGGCGGACCGCAGAGGTACTGGGTGGCGGTCGTGGGGGGGTGGCTGGGGGAGGCTGGCCGGCTCCCTCTGCCCGTCCAGGAGTGCGGCTGGCCTCAGCAGGGGACACGGGACTATCACACAAGTTGATGAGGCTGCTGAGGATGTCCAGGTCCAGCTGGGGCCGTCGGCAGGGGCCAGGCAGGGCTCGGCGGCTGGGTGTGAGCACTGTGCGGCGAGTCTCAGGACTAAAGAGTGGCTGTTTGGACAGCAGGGGCTGCACAGGTTCCTGACGGGTGTTGGCCACATGCAGGCTCTTGACGTACTTGGCCTTGTCGGCCTCCAGGCGCTCCACAGCACTCGGTTTCCGGACTCCACCATCTGCCGGCCTCCGGAGCAGGTAGCCGGGGACCTTGGTCCGCAGGCGGCAAGGTAGGGCAGGGGCGGCCGGGGCTCCAGGGCTCAGCATGTCCACAGGCATGGCTGCTGCATATCCCAAGGGATTTGGTCTGAGGAGATTGGAGAAATGAGGAGCCAGAGATCCAGGCAGAATGGAGGCAGCTGGACCCCGGCAACTGCTGCAGTGAAGGAGAGAAAAAGAAGCTGAATGCGCTCAGACAAAGAGGCTCAGCCACGGCTGAGAGAGGGTAAGACGCCTTCCCAGTTATACGGTAGAGACCTCGCCCCTTCTTCATAATGAGCCAATCAGCAGGCACAAAGCAACAGCTGCTGAGCCTGAGGCCCCACCCACACCCCCTCCCTTCAAGCTCCGGGGGAACCAGGCCCAGCTGAGGAAGAGAGTAGAAAAAAGGTGCTAGGGAAGAAAGACCTAGGCAACCTGAGCAGAAAAGACAGCGCAAGACCACGCGCTAACAGGAGCAAGGGAGGCTCCAGGCTCTATGCTATGCACCAGTCAACTCAACCTCAGTGTCCTTTCAACAGTCCTTTTTTGGGTGGAGAAACTAAAGCCCAGAGAGGTAACCAACCTGCTTAATAACCCAGCGAGTAGGTGTCTCTGCCTCTTACCACCAAGAAGGAAGGTGCTGGCACAGGGATGTTAGGGTTAAATGACCAAGAAAAAGGGCTCCAGCCCCACGCCCTACCTCGACTGCCCACAGAGAGCCTGGTACCACCTCCACCCTTCACCCATCCAGGCAGGAAGCTACCCTGTGCCATCCACCCGCCTGAACATGCCAGGCCCCAGGCAAAGGGCAGAGCTTATAGGGAAGAGCAATGAAAATCTCCACCCCCGCCCCAGTGGAGTCCAGACATCCCTCAGCTTCCAATATGGAACTGGATGGCCCACGGTGATCCACAAATGGCTGTCATGTGGAAACAGCACCGAGCTATGCTGCACTGAGAGAAGCTGGGAATGTCCAAAATCACACAGCCCTGCATGGAGGCATCCAGTAGACTCTCAATCTGCCTGCAGCCATGGAATGGGCACTCATAGGGAGGAGGGCACACACCTGGATGCACAAGTGTCTACATGGGCACCCAAGTATCAGGGCCTGATGCCCCAGGCATCAAGCCAACCCTGACCCTGTTTCCAAGTAAAGTCAAGCCCACAGTCATCCCACAGGCCCCTTGGAGGTGGGGCAGAAGAAAACCTATATACCAAGTCCTGAATATTCTCATCTGTAAAATGGGGGGGGGGGGGTGGGGGTGTAGGTACTTAATCTAGGTGTTCCTCAAGAGGACATGTAGTCCAAACCATCTAGACCTGTGCTGTCCAGTTCAATAGCCACCAGCCCACTAGGGATAAACTAAAGACATCTAGGTACACCCTGCCTGTTGCAGGCATCTGGGTCCAAGGTGGTAGGTGTATTCTAGGAAGCTGGGAATCCAGAAGTACATGAAAACTCTAGATTAATTGTCAACATATTCAATAATAATGATTATTAAAACATTACCTGTACAGCAAACAAAATATGTCTGCAAACCTATATCTGTCCCCTCCTCCTCCATCTGGCCCCCAACCACCAGCTGGAGACCTCTGCAGCAGCGTTGAATTGGGAATAGAACCTTGGGTGCTGCTTCCAAGGTAGAGAGATGGAGTGGATAGGAAAGGAAGGCTCACCCCACCAGGTCCGACCCCCAGGAGACCGCAGGTGGGAAGGGCCTGACAGGAAGGGAGCACAGTAGAGGCAGCCAGACTCTGCCCCACTCCCAGGCTGCCACCTCCCAAACCAGTCCAACCCGTCTGCAGTGGCAGTTCCCTCGCAGGCACCATCCAGGGAAAGAGGGAGGAAGGAGGTCAGACGGACGGGGCACGTCCCCGATCGGGCCCCCAGCCCCATGGCCCGATCTGCTGGCCCTGCGGTCCCCTCTGGAGGGACCGGAACAGATGCGAGGGCCAACCCCAAGTTTGGCACTGCGGGCCCGCCGGCCCACCGGCTCACCCACCCACCTGCTGTGCGCCTTGCGCAAACAGCTACGCCGCTTTACAGACTCGGTTACCTTATCCGTGAAATGAAGTTAAAAATAGACCTTCCGGAGCCTCCAGGTCACGATAAGGATGGAGAGATTAAACAGGTCAAGGGCTTTCCTCAGCATCTGGCAAAAAGGCGGCACCACCAACCAGGCTCCTGGTCTTTATGAAGACTTTGACGACCCAAGTCCACAGACCACTCCCACGCAGGGGTCTCTAAGTAAGCCCCACGAGGGTGTGTCCCAGTCCGCACCGCGGACAAAGCAGGCCCAAGACAGAGGCTGATCAGTGAGCTGACCTCAACAGCCCCATGTCAGGAGTGGGCAAACGGAGGTGCAGCGGCTCTTGCCAGGTGAAGCCAGGGTCCCAGTCCCCAAGCGGGACTCAATGTCCCCTCTGGGGCCTCCTCTCATCGCCCAATGCCCCAGCACGGATTAAAATGCATCCCATGAATGCCCCCAACCGCCAGCCCTTCTGGTTTGCATCCCCGGGGCACGCATCCCCACCTCGCCCCCTCCCCACCCACTCCCCGGCGTCAGCCTCGGGAGGCCGCGGGGCAAGGTGCGGCGAACTTAGTGCCAGGCACTGGCTTTTGCTCTCCCTCACTTCGGGGCAAGCTTGAGGACTCCTGGTGGCGGGGGATGGGGGACGGCTAGCGGGGCGCTGTGTGACCCTAGCCACTGGCCGCCCCTGAGTATGAGTTGGCCTGTCTCTCAAATGAGGGAGAGGGCGGCACGATCCGCACAGTCCTCTTGAAGTCGAAAGGTGGATCCCTGCCCAGTTCCCGCCGTCCCGGGGAGGGAGGGCCGCCCACTACCCCGGCTGGGCGCCCCCTACCCCGATCCGCACGTACCTGGCTGAGCCCGCGCGGCTGGCCTGCGCTCCTCCAGCCCAGCCCACCTGGGGCTCAGGCAACCTGAGTTTGCGCAACTTCCGGCGGCTGCGGGCAAGTGAACCCGCCGGCCCACGTATTACCCGAAAGGAGGAAGAAAAGCCAGGCAGGGGCCGGAACCCGAGCCCCGGCCGCTGGCAGCTGGCCTGGCTCAGGAACCGGGTCCGACCCGCTCCAGGACCACCCAGGAAAGCTCTTCCGGGAGCCGAGACCCGCCTACCGCACACCTGGCGCGCGGAGTCCTAGTGGCCCTGGCAGGCAAGCGCACCCATCTGAGAGATGGACAAACTGAGCCCCCCTCCCTGACTCAGAACGACAGCCAGGTGCTGTTCACTGTGCTAGGCACAGGAAAGTGATTTTCTTGGTATCGGGTAACCCATTTTAATCTTCCCAACAATCACTATCAGGTGAGTTCAATTGTTACCCATTTGACTAATGGTAAACTGAGTCTGGGAGAGGCTGAAACACTAGCCCAAAATCACTCAGGGGAGTCCAGCCTGGGCACTTTCCCTCAGACCACGCCTTAACGCCACCACTTCCTAGATGTGTGTCCCTGACCAGGTTTCGGGACCTCTCTGGCGCTCCATTCTGTCACGTGTAGAGTCGGTCCCTCTGGAACAGGCTGGGCCTGGAAGTGCCTTAGAAGCCTCGTGAAAGCAGTTCACATCCTTCACATCCGAAACAACAGCCGTAATAGTGGCAACAATAACTAGAATTTTTGAGTGCCAGGCACCATACTCATTTAAACCCCCCGAGTCTCCTCATTTAATCCCATGAGACTGCAGCCCTGCAGGAAGGAATTCCCAGGAGGGAGGTGAGGCAGTGACTGCCACCTCTTCCAGCCCAAGCCCTATAATTCACTTCAGGTAGGCGCATTTGATAGGCCATTTTCCACGGGAATCCTGAGACCCAGAGAAGGAGGGGTCCCCCAGGCCTCAGCCTCAGCCCTCTGCGCTGCACAGGCTGAAGAGGCTCCTGTTCCCTGCCTGTGGGAGCTGGGCCAGGGCTAGGGTTCCGGGCATGAGGAGGCCAGCAGTGATTCACATCAGCTTTCCTTCCCCTGGGCACTGCAGCCTCCTCCCCTCCCTGACTTTACAGGGGAGGGGGCGACAAGTCCATCATCCCCAAAATGGCCTGCAGGGCCCTGCCTAGCCCTCCACTGAGGCAAAAATGGGGGATGGGGAGTGTTCCTTTAGGCACTAATAGTAGTAACAGCAAAACAACAATAATGATTTTCATAATTAAAAAAAAAAAAGCAAATCTCATCTGAGCACTTTCTTTGTACCAGACGCTCTTCAAAGCACTTTACAAAATGTTAACTCATTTGATCCTCACACCTACCCTGTGAGGTGGCTACCATTATTATATTCATTTTTGGATGAGAAAACTGAGGCTCCAAGAGGTAAGGCCACTTGCTCAAAATTACACAGCTAATAAATGGTAGAGCCAGGATTGGAACCCAGGCTCATATCTGGGGAGGGGAGGTGGAAGAGACAACATTTTCAGTGTTGGGCTTTGGCCCCTCACCAGATGTGCCCTCCAAGAAATTCCCAAATAATCTACTGCCTCCTCAGCTGGACCCCAGAGTTAGAACCCACCTTAGGAAGCACTCCCTAGTTATGGTTCTGAGGCTTGGTTTCCTCTGCTGTAAAATGGGGGCAATCATGGCAATGTTTTCCCAGCAGAAGTAAGATCTCATTACTGCCGGGTTTAAACCCTCCTGTGGCTCCCTCACAATAAAATCCAAGCTCCCCACTTGGCCCTCAGGCCTTCCAGGTCTTAGTCCTTATCCAGATCTCCCATCTTATCTCCAGACTTTCCTGCCCTGGCCACAAAGCCCTCCCTGCTATTCCTGAACACAAGGTCTTTGCTGCCTCAGGGCTTTTGCACCAGCTGTTCTCTGCCTGGAACCTCCTCCCTCATCCACTTCAGATCTCACCAAAAAGGGGGTCTCAGCTCTTTCACCCATTTTATTCCTTCCTGAGCATTCATTGCATCCTGTCATTTTAGATACTCTCTTATCTAGGATAGGAAATATAACTTGTTTGCTGTCTCTCCCACTGGACCATGAGGTCCATCAAACCCTTCCATATTTTCTTCCTCCAGGGACCAAACAAGAGGAAACACCACTGGACAAGTGGCTGGACTGGACCCAGGACACCTCAAAGGCCAAGGCCAATCATCGAGAGGTATACATTAAATGTATAGAGCTTTTTCTTACATCAATAAGGAAGAAGAAAAAGAGAAAAAGAGAGGAAGAAAGAAAGGAGAGAAAGTTAAACATATCTGTCAGGAATAACAAAGAAGTGACGTTGTGTCCTTCTTAGTACGTGGTATTGGGAGTGTTCCTTTTTCTTTTTTTAGAGATGAGGTCTTACTGTGTTGCTCAGGTTAGCGTGCACTCCATAGCTCACTGCAGCCTCAAACAGATGGGCTCAATCCCCCCATCTCAGCCTCCTGAGTAATTGGGACTGTAGGTACATTACACACCCACCCATAACAACAGTTTGTCTTAATCTTAGTGATGAGCCAATTCCTTGTTAAGGCAGTATCTGCCAAATTTCTCCACTGTGCAGTTATTATTTTTCCTTTATAGTTAATAAATATTTTGTGAGAAGAAAAAAGGCCAGGGTCCCTAAGCACCAAGCCTCCTCCCCAAACTCTGACGCTGTTCCTGGCCTCTCTAGACCTGTCCTACTCTTCCTCCCACTTCAGGTCACCCCCATGCAAGCTGGGCTCTGACCACTTCTACCCAAGACCTGTTCTTTCTCCAAAGCCACCATATCCAAACCCCTGCACACACTGGTTGTGCTGCCTGCAGTGGCCTTTGCCACTGCATCCCCCTGGCCATATCTGTAAGGTACAGCATGGACTCCAGAACTCATTCAAATCCCAGCTCCACCATGATTAGCTATGAGACCTTGGGTAAGATACTCAACTTCTCCATATCTCAGTTTCCCCAACTGTAATTGGGAGGACTCACAAGAGTGCCTCCCTCTCTGCATGAGGCCCATGAATGACAAATGCCACCAAAGTGTGGGCGATGATAACTATTCAACCAAACAGATCATCCAGTGCCCAGCTCCTGAGGGAGGCCTTCATCAGCCCAGAATGCTGACCCACTATTCTCAGAGGTTACAAATCTAAAAGAAGCACTGGTAATGGTTATGAATGCGGAGTCACTTGAATAGAGATTTCTCCAAAGATACACAAATGGCCAATAAGCACAAGAAAAAACGCTCAGCACCGTTAATCATTAGGGAAATGTAATTTAAAACCACAATAAGATACCACATCACACCCCTGAAGATAGCCGTTACCAAAAAAAAATACAAGCAGAAAATAACAAGTGTTGGTGTGGATGTTATTTTGAGAAATTAGCACTTTGTGCACTGCTGATGGACACATAAAATGGTGCAGTCACTGTGAAAAGCAGCAAAGGTGTTCCTCAAAAAATTAAACCAAATTGGGCTGGGCATGGTGGCTCACACCTGTAATCCCAACATTTGGGGAGGCCAAGGTGGGCAGATCACGAGGTCAGGAGTTCGAGACTAGCCTGACCAATATGGTGAAACTCCATCTCTACTAAAAATACAAAAATTAGTCGGGCGTATTGGCATGCATCTGTAGTCCCAGCTACTGGGGAGGCTTAGGCAGGAGAATCACTTGAACCCGGTAGGCAGAGGTGAGCCAAGATCGCGCCATTGCACTCCAGCCTGCGTGACAGAGCGAGACTCCATCTCAAAAAATAATAATAATTAAAACAAATTTTAAAAAAACTAAAGAGAATTACCATAGGATCTCCCAGCAATTCCTCTTGAGTGTATACCCAAAACAATTAAAAGCAGGAACTGAAACAACCATGCTCAAAGCAGCATTAATCACAACAGCTGAAAGCAATCCAAGTATCTGTCAAGGAATGAATGGATAAACAAATGTAGCACATACATAGAATATTAGAATATCATTCAGCCTTAAAAAGGAAATTCTAACACATATGACAATGTGGGTGAAGCTTAAAGATATTATGCTAAGTGAAATAAACCAGACACAACAAGGCAAATACTGTATGATTCCATTTATAATACCTAGAGGTACCTAAAGCAGTCAAATTTACTCAAATAGAAAGTAGAATGGTGATTGCCAGGCACTGGGGGGTGTGGCAATGGGGAACTGTTTATTGGGTATGAAGTTTCAGTTTGGGAAGATGAAAACGTTCTAAAGATGGATGGTGGTGATGGTTGTACAACAGTGTGAACGTACTTAACACCACTGAACTGTATACTTAAAAGTGGTTACAATGGTAAATTTTATTTTATATACATTTTACTACACTCACCCCACCCCCCCCATCAAAAAAAAAAAAAGCAATGTAAAATGTAAAGCCAGACTCCCTGGGTTCAAATTCCACCTCTAGGTGATCGTAGGCAAATTATTAAACCTCTTGTGCTCAGTTTCCCCTCTGCAAGATGGAAATAAGAACAGCAGTAACTACCTTATGTCACAGAGTTGAGGGAATTAAATTAGTTCATACTTGTAAAGTACTAAGAACACAGTAAGTGCTCAAGAGGTGTCAGTGATTTTTATTCTTTGGTGAGGGGGTGGGAGGTGTGGTTTCCAATGGTTCTAATTTTCATGACATTCTATACTCAATCCGCCGCCCCCTTCCTTCCACCTGCTTCTTTCTTTCCCTTCAGTGGAAGCCTGGCCTAGATGTGGGAAGGCCCTTGCCTACCCCAGAGGAGATCAGGAAGGCTCCAGGCAGTGGCAAGGGGCCAGCCAGCAGGGCAGCCCAGCTCAATTTCAGCCCAGCTGTCCAGGTCAGAGACACCCAGCTAGGCCACCTCCAGAGCCACAGCAGGCCCTGAACTATTTCTGGAGGCCTCCCAGACGCTGGTGCCCTGGCCTGCCCAGGAGTCAGCCTTGCTCAGGGCAGCCTTGCACAAACTTTAGGAAGGGAGAAGGGAGTAGGCTGTGGAATGGGTGTGGATGTGGACATCTAGGTCCACTGATACGCTCACCTCTACCAAATTGATCTTCTAGGGGTAGGTCTGCACTTGAGATTGCAAAATGGAGACAAAAGATTTTGCAGTGGGGGCAGAGTGAGAGAGATAACACATGCAAGGTCTTGGGGAAGGACCTGGCATGCAGGATGACAAAGGTGAGGGGGAGGCAGAGCCACAGCCAAGCCCAGTTCCTATCCTAGATTGCCCTCTGCCCAAGCCGGAGTGCACCATCAAAACTTAGCCCAGAGAGTAAAGAAACTCACTCAATGTCACAGAGCAAGTCAGGGACACAGCAGTGGTCTTATGATTTATAAAAATGTCTATATATAAATCTGCACATATATATATATATACGTATATATATGTGTGTGTATACATATATATATATATATATATATGTATATAATTTTTTTTTTTTTTGGAGACAGAGCTTTCTTCTTGTCACCCAGGCTGGAATGAAATGGCATGATCTCAGCTCATGGTAACCTCCGCCTTCCAGGTTCAAGCAATTATCCTGCCTCAGCCTCCCAAGTAGCTGGGATCACAGGCTCGTGCCACCACAGCTGACTAACATTTGTATTTTTTAGTAAAGACGAGATTTCACCATGTTGGCCAGGCTGGTCTTGAACTCCTGACCTCAGCTGATCCACCTGCCTCAGCCTCCCAAAGTGCTGAAATTACAGGCGTGGGCCACCACACCCTGCCTTAATTTTAAAAATTTTAAACCAGGTGATACATGCATACAACTCAAAATTCAAAAACAATAAAGACAATGAAGTTAAAAAAAAGAACTCCTCCCATACTGTCCCCAGTTCTCCTCCCTGCAGGTACCACTGTGACCAGACAGTTGCTTATCCTTCCTGGGAGACTTTAGGTAGATGCAGGCAAGTATGAATACATATTCTGTCTCCATTTTTACACATATGGTATCATGATGCTGTGTGTACTGTTTTCATCTTGTTCTTTTTGCTCAATAATGTATTTTGTTATTGGAGCCACATCAGTACATAAAGAACAGCCATGTCCTTTTTTCCCAGCTACACAGTATAATTTCCCATCATCCCCTACTGGTGGCACTTAGCATGTGCATCGTTTCTGCCTACAAACCACATTGCAGCATCACTGCATCTACAGAATTTCGCCTAGAAGTGGGACAGCTGGGTCTGGGGGATGACATTTGTAATTGTGACAGAGATGGGAGGACAGCACTCTGTGAGGGCTGTGAGTTAACCTCCTGCCTGCACAACACACAAATGGTCCATAAATGTTAGTTTCAGTTATGTTGATTACTGAGGTTTTGGGCATCCCTAAATTTTGCACTGGTGGTGAGGACGTCAATTGCCTTCGCCCCTGCCTTGCATCACATTCTAGTGGAAGATGATAAATGTGCTAATAAGTAAAATATACAGGACATAACATGGAGTAAATGCTACTGAGAGAGAAAAAACATGCAAGAAGAAGAGCGGGCTTATGAAGTCAATAAATAATATTTGTTGAAAGTATAAAGGAAAGTCTTGTTTTCTTTCTGAGTCCTCTGAGCTCCTGTCCCGAAAGCCAGGAGGAGGCTCCAGAAGAGACAGGATAAGTAACTCCCTGGTGAAGAGATTCAAGACTCTCAAAACGTATGATTGAGTGTCAAGGATTCTAAGATTGAAGCCAGAGGGACTAGGAGCCAACCACTGCATTGTCTGACTGTGACTTCAACAAGGGGCATAACTTCTTAGAACCTGTTTCCCCACCTAGAAAAGGAGACTGACAACAACCTAGGGGGCAGGGGTGTTCCCAGGAGACAGAGCAGGGACTGGCCTAGGTCAGATGCTCCACCTAGGAGGATCCCAGCCCCACCCCAAATTCCAAAGTCTCTGGTGACTAGTGGCTTTGGTTTAGGGACTGGCTCTATTCCCTTCCCCAAAATGGGGCAGATTCCCAAGAGGCCAACAGCAACTCTGGGGGCCAGAGAATCTGCTGCCCCTACATCCAGCCCAGAAATGTCAGTCCGTCCAATCCCCAAAGAGTGGTCTTCTGAGGGGCAGCTCTGGAATTCACAGCCTCGTAGGCAGAAGGTCGCCAAAGAAGCCGAGCCCAACCCCTACCGAATTCAGAGCCCCGTAGGCAGAAGGGCGCCAAATGAACCGAGTCCAACCGCGGAAAAGGAAACACAGACCCCCAAAAGGGGTATCCCGAGGATACCGCGGGGCGGGAGGATAGGTGATCCAGCCAGGGGTCCATAGGCCGTGTCCCTGCCGATAAAACGCTGGGAAAGTGACTACTGGTTGCCCGTCTGGGCCTCCCAAGGCAAATCCAAACGTGACTAGAATGGAGGCTGCGAGGTGGGGCGGAAAGACTTGAACCGGATTCTCTGCCAGAGCTCGCCGGGCCGGGACACTTGCCTCCCTGAGCCTCAGAGTCCTCATCTGTGAAATGACACGCAGGTACGACGCGGGGAAAACGCAGACAGCAGGCGCTCGGGGAACCGAGCACCCCCAGACCCGGGGTCGCACCCGGAACCACTCCCGCCCTCACCTGGAGCCAGCGCTAGGCGTGTCTCGGCTCCTCCAGCGCAGACTTTGGAGAGGCTGACAGCTCGGACCCGGCCGGGAATGGCCGCTCCCAACGACGCCCGGGAGGCCCTAGCCCCGTGTGGGGACCCTTGGGATCCTCTTCAGAGCTGCCCCCCTCAGCCGAGCTGAACGAGTGGCCCTGACTGCCAAAGGACCCCACTGGAGGGGAAGTCTCTGGGGCGCCGAGGAAGGGGAAGTGAGCACGCCACCCCCCTTCACACCAAAATGGTTCGCCCCGGATTTCCTGATTGGTTCCTCGCTTCCGTTCGAACGCCGCGCCGCGGGTGTTGCCAGGCGACCTCTTAGCTTCAGCCGCCCGGAGGGGTTGCGCGGCTCAGAAGCCCCGCCCCCTTCTTCCAGCTGGCCCCACCTTCTTCCCTCCGCAGTTTCAGTCTCTGCACCTGGTTCTTTCACTTCCTCCTCCCTCCCGCTTCCAGCTGGGACTTTCTCTAGGTCCCCAGCTGGAAGAGCTCCAGTTAGAGGACCCTGGCTGGTTCCTGGTCCTGACTTTGACGCTAACTCCCTGTGTGACCCCTGGCAAGCCCCTTCCTTTCTCTGTTCTCCTAACTGCGTGACGAGGGAGTTAATTTTAAAATGTGCACACCCAGCAGCCCGAAGTTTACAAAGGAAATGACCAAAGATATGAGCAAAGATTAATATTGCTCAGCCTTATTCATCGCAGCAAAATAATGGAAGCAACTTCAATGCCTGTTGAAAGGAGTTGGTTACATAAGTCCATCTGTGGAAGAGCTAACTTAATTGAGTTTTTTTCCATGCCAGGTAGCTTTACAGAACAACTCTTGTCAAGGCTCATGACATAATCCTCTAAAAGTAATTTTAATTATTAACACTTTTTTTTTGAGATGGAGTCTCATGTCACCCAGGCTGGAGCGCAGTGGCGCGATCTCAGCTCACGGCAGCCTCAACCTCCTGGGGTCAA